GTAAATAATGCTGCTTTGAAAGTTAGGGTGCATGTATCTTTTCAAATTAGTGTTTTCATTTTTTTATATATATATTTATTTGATTTCAAGGGGGTTTTTTGTTTGTTTTTAATATTTATTTACTTGGTTGTGCCAGGTCTTAGTTGCGGCAGGCGGGTTCCTTAGTTGTGGGTCACTGGCTCCATAGTTGAGGCATGAGGCCTTAGTTGTGGCATGCGAACTCTTAATTGTGGCGTGCATGTGGGATCTAGTTCCCTGATCAGGGATTGGACCCCAGGCCCCCTGCATTGGGAGCGCGGAATCTTAACCACTGCGCCACCAGGGAAGTCCCTGGTTTTTAGTTTTTTGAGAAACCTCCGTACTGTTTTCCACAGTGACTGGACCAATTTACATTCCCACCAGCAGCATATGAGGGGTCCCTTTTCTCCACATCCTCGCCAACCTTTGTTATTTGTTGGAGGTAAAACTTAGGAGGGGCTTCACAGCAGGCAGAAGACACTGTTTGGAGCTGCCCCTGGCACCTGCAAATGAAATGAGGGGCATGATACTGTTCACCATAGATTGGGGGGCAGGCCAGGCCAGGCGTGGCTCCGGGCTGAGGTTGGCCTATCACTGTCACATCCGCCCCGGGCCTCAGTGTCTGTGGGGAAAAGGACAGAAACAACCTTCTCCCTAAAATCTTTTCATCTATGACATCCTGCACATGAAATGGGAATCTGAGGGAAACAGTGCACAGTTGGCTGCACTGTTGGGCCCTCAGCTGTGGCGTTGCCCCAGCAGGCACCACGCAGCAGCAAAGTCTGCGTTCTCAGCTCGCCAGGCCTCAGGTGTTCCATTGGCATCAGGGTTAGTTTTGGATACAGAGGGATTTTCAAATTCCTGTTCACCTTTGCAAGGTGTAATTAGAATTCGTTGGAAAGGACTCACAGAGCGCGTGGGTGAGAAGTGAGAGGGCATCCTGCGTGCCTTGTCTTTAGGTTTCTGCTTCCAGTCTGTCCTCCTCTGCAAGATCCCCAGGGGCGTGCCCTGGGCTGGCCTTCCAGTGTGGGATCCCTGCCTCCGGAGTAAGCCTTGGCTCGAGGCTTAGGAGCTGCCTTCAGGCTTGGAGGCTTTGTTTGATGTTCACACATGGAAATGGAGCCTCTTCTCTTTGTGAGCTCAGCTATGCATTTAAATTTTTCCCTTATATTTTACAAGCATTTTTAGGTATTTGTAATGGGTGAGTTCCTGAGTTAATCTGCCGTCTTTCTGGCAGGGTTATTTTTAGACTTTGTTTTAGTTTAATTTGATGGGTGACTCAGGTACAGACTGATGGTTAATCTGCATTCATTCTTTCAAAGGGATGATCCTTAGTTTTGAAAATAATTTATTCACTTCTGTTACATAAAGAATGCACTAAATTGCAATTGCATAATATATAGTTGACACTTAACTGTAAACTGTTCTAATCCATACGCCTCATTGGTTGTAGCTACGACTTTGAGATGTATTTTGGCCTGTTTTCAGGCCAGAGGCTGGCCACCTGGCATAGGAGGGACATGGAGTGTCTGTCCTGTCCTTGAGATGTGACACTTTGGGCAGTAGCAGCTCTTGCTGCCCCTCCCAAGACAGGGGGTGCTCTGTGGGCGGGGCTACGCTCTGGTCTTGCCGTTGCTTCCTCACCCCTCCTCCGTGGCGGTGTCTGTGCCCAGGGGTGAGAAGAAGGGCCCCCCCGTCACTCGACCGAGTGCAGGGTGAGTGGGGAAGTCGTTCCATCGTCTCAAGGAGGATGATACAGCTCACAGAAGCCTCTGTTCATATTTGAATACCTGATTGGGTTAGGAAAAGCTTATATCTGAAGCATCGAATCCATCTGTCCACCCAACAGATTCTGTGTGCTGAGCGCTGGGGTTACAGAACAAACGTGTCTTTCCTGCCCTCTGCCCCCGCCTTCCTTCAGAGATATGCTTTGAATGTCTCTGTGCTAAAGATCACACAGAGAGGATATTGAGGCCACACATCTTTTTTTGAAAATGTGGAATATTGTGGTGAACGTGAACAGTGGTTGGTGCACGGCATCGAGCCAGCGATTCACAACTTGGGAGTTCAGACATGTATAATTCATAGAAAGTAAGTCGCTACCAGCCGCGGATATGCCTGCAGCACGTGTGAGTGATGCAGTTGTCCCAGCCGAGGCGGAAAGGCTGGGGTATAGCTGTCAAGGACGGGTTGTGAGCTGCTGCACCACTGACACCTTCCCCACGGAGCTTCCAGTGCGGGAAACTGTGGTCAGTGTAAAGGCTCTCACTATTGGCAAATGTTTTTGTTTTAAAGTAGATTAACTGAAGATCAAAATAAAATTCCTTAATGAGAAAAATCTTTCACCATGCTCTAATGCAGAGGAAATTAAATCTCTGTGTAGTCAGAACCAGTTGCTTATCTACAGCAGAATTAGAAATTTAAATTCTTAATTAGTTCATTGGATCTTCTGTGATTTCACTGGTTTTGAATATTTTCCCCCCAAATAAAAAATGAATAAATTTACAGGAATTTTGATTGTTTTAAAAAATGGGCTCTATCTTACAGATACTTGCATGGGTGGGCAAAATATATAGGAAGTGATTGTACTTCACTGTTTATAATAAGAGAGCCCCAGATGATCTCAGTGCCGTCAGGACTTCTTAAATCAATTGCAGTACGTCTCTGTGCTGGGGTGAAGGCCTGCAGGGGTTACAGAGCAGCACAGCTTTGTAGACAAGATGACTTCCAAGACAAGTGTTTGTTTGCTTATTATTGAAGTACAGTTAATTTACAGTGTTGTGATAGTTTCTGGTATACAGCAAAGTGATTCAGTTACATGTATATAAGAAATACATACCAGATTCATTTATATGAATGTTGTACATAATATATATTCTTTTTCAGATTCTTTTCCATTATAGTTTGTTACAAAATATTGAATATAGTTCCCTGTGCTATACAGTAGGACCTTGTTGTTTATCTGTTTTGTATATAGTAGTTTGTATCTGCTAACCCCAAACTGCTAATTCATCCCTTCCCTCCCTCTTCCCCCTTTGGTATTGTTCTCTATGACTGTGGGTCTGTTTCTATTTTGTAAATAAGTTCGTTTGTATCGTATTTTAGATTTCACATATTAGTGATATCATATGATATTTGTCTTTCTTTTTGTCTTAGTTCACTTAGTATGATAGTCTCAAGTTCCATCCATGTTGCTGCAAGTGGCATTATTTCATTCTTTTTTATTGCTGAGTAATATTCCATTGTGTATATGTACCACATTTTCTTTATCCATTCCTCTGTTGATGGACATTTAGGTTGTTTCCATGTCCTGGCTATTGTAAATAATGCTGCTATGAACATTGGGGTGCATGTGTCTTTACTGGTTAGAGTTTTCTCAGGGTATATGCCCAGGAGTGGGATTGCTGGATCATACGGTAGTTCTATTTTTAGTTTTTAAAGGAACCTCCATACTCTTTTCCATAGTGGCTGTACCAATTTACATCCCCTCCTACACTGTTGGTGGGTTCCCTTTTCTCCACACTCTCTCCAGCATTTGTTATTTGTAGACTTTTTAATGGTGGCCATTCTGACTGGTGTGAGGTGGTACCTTGTAGTTTTGATTTGCATTTCCCTAATAATTAGCCATGTCCAGCATCTTTTCATGTGCTTATTGGCCATCTGTATGTCTTTTTTGGAGAAATGTGTATTTGAGTCTTCTGCCCGTTTTTTGATTGGGTTGTTTGTTTTTTTTGTTACTGAGCTACATGAGCTGTTTGTATATTTCTGAAATTAAGCCCTTGTCGTTCACATCATTTGCAGATGTTCTCTCCCATCCTGTGGGTTGCCTTTTCATTTTGTTTGTGGTTTCCTTTGTTGTGTAAAAGCTTATTAAGTTTGATTAGGTCCCATTTGTTTATTTTTGCTTCTGTGTCGTGCCTTGGGAGACTGACCTAAGAATACATGGCTGTGATTTATGCCCAGACAAATGTTTAAATGAGAAAAGTAAGGAGAGGAGAGAGTGGAGAGCTGGTGTCAAACGGGGAAGCCAGGGAAGGGTGTTTAGTCCTCAGACGGATCACCTCACAGGCCACACAGGAAGGGAGCTAGTGCTGCTGGACAGTGGACTTTGTCCTAATCTGCCTGCTCTGCAGTTAGGGAGGACATCAATTGTGTAGTAGGAAGGTCCACGTTGGGCTGCCTTGAATGTCCCCGTGCATGTTCACTTTCCATCGTCCCTGGGTGTGTGTCTGGGCATTGCCTGATTCTTCCAAACTCTGTGTCACCTGGGCAGCCTTTCTTATATCCGAAAAACAAAACGATGTGGTTGACATTGGACAGAAGTGATATTGCATTTGGAAAAGTGTCCCTTTTTCCTGCATTGTGGATACTCGCCAACTAGCCTGTCTTTTGCCACTCTCACGCCCCCAAAATGTGTCTTTTCACAGCGACAGTGGCAGCCATGTACTACAGCTACTACATGCTGCCCGACGGCACCTACTGCCTGGCACCTCCCCCTCCAGGGGTTGACGTAGCCACTTACTACAGCACCCTGCCTGCCGGGGTGGCTGTGTCCGGCTCCGCTGGAGTGACAGCCACGGCCCCGCCCCCTCCAGGGACCACGCCACCGCCCCCCCCAAGCACAGCAGAGACGAGTAGTGGGGTGACCTCCACCACCATCACCACAAGGTATGCTCTCACTTCTGCTGGTCACCTGGAGCACCTGTGTTCTTGGTTTGGGCTTCTTTATAGTGTGAGTCACATAGAGGGTCTCCGTTACCTGACTACTTATTATCCAAATCCCCGAGTTACAGGGTTGATTGGGCAACGGAAACTGTCATGACATAAGCACTTGTAGCAGTGAGGTCTAACCACTGAGAAAATGAACTCCCAGACAGCGTCCCGCGCCGCTGCCCTGACCCAGCATCTGCTCTCTCCCGTGTGCCGCCATCTCGGCGGGGCAGCACCAGGCACGGGCAGTGTGAAGCGAGGCCCAGTTTCTGCCCAAAATGCAGGATTTCATAAAAGCCGATGCAAGTGAATGGCTCACAAGCTGGTAGGAAATGCGGATCTGCTGTTAGTTCAGCTAACCATCGACTAACAGAGCCAGCAAGGCAGGGACTGGACCCCCGCGCCTGTCCTGGGGAGCGTGGAGGGGGCTCTGAAGAGCGTCTGCGGGTGAGCGAGCACTTCCTAAGAGGCACTGGCACGTCTTAAGCTGACAGGACAGCCGCTCAGGAGCCTTGACGGAGCACTTGGATGGTTCCCGCTTCCTGATCATGCTAAGGCAGGAAACAGGAAACGAAGGATGATGAGTCACGCTGGCCAGCATACCTTCATATATATACACAAATTCACACTTGATTTGTCCTTGGTTGTTTCTAGAATTAGCAACTGGGGGAAATGTGAGGAGAGAAAAGATGAACCTGTGTTCATGACCTTAAGTGTCACTTTGAGTAAAACCCCTGTTTTCATCATTGGCAATGATATTTTGGTCCCTGTTTCAAATGGATTGACTTTGACTAGTTTTCTGTAGTCCCAGTCATCTCAGATGAGGGCCTCCCTGTCTGTGTGTAACTTACCTGCCGGTGTGAACTGAGACAGTGCAAGTCCCCCAGCAGCCTTGCTGGCCGCCCCCCTGCCGCTGATCTGGAGGAGGGCCTGGCACTGTGTGTGTGACCCAGCTCTCCTCTGCAGTGCACTTGCTTCCGTGGCCGCCATCATCCCCCCGCCCCCCGACATTCAGCCCGTGATTGACAAGCTGGCAGAGTACGTGGCCAGGAACGGCCTTAAGTTTGAGACCAGCGTTCGTGCCAAGAATGATCAAAGGTGAGTGAAGGAGTTTATGTGGGGCAGATGAATGGTATTTGGGGTTTAGTTTAGCTTCTTTTTTTAATCTAGCTACATAATTGTTTATATATATGTATATATATGTGTGTGTGTGTATATATATATATATATATATATATATACACATATATTTTTTTTTATCCTTATGTGTTTAGATAAATATATCTTGTTAAATTACTTAGAGTTGGGGTGGTTGTCTTTTTTATTGTTATAATTTTTTTGTTTGTTTAACTTGTTTTGCTTTGTTTTTTTAAAAATGTTGAACCTCCCTAAAATAAAAAGCTGGAATTCATGCTTTTCAAGAATCTGCTGTGGAAATTCAGACACACACTGCACTTTGTTTTTTTCATCAAATAATGTTCCGTGCTCGGGTCGTAACATAACAACAAGAGGCTGTGGTCGCAACACGATCTGTGTGATCGCCAGGGTCAATCACTGCGAAGCCTCAGAGCAGCAGGTGTGGTCCGTCGGAGCCGAGGGGTGTCACAGCGAGCGAGCGTGTCTTGTTGAATGACTTGTCCCCTTCTCTGTTCCTAGGTTTGAGTTCCTGCAGCCGTGGCACCAGTATAATGCCTATTATGAGTTTAAGAAGCAGTTCTTCCTCCAGAAAGAAGGGGCTGAAAGTGCACAGGTGTGTGTCTGGGAGGAAGTAATCCTCGGGATGTGCACTAACAGGGTTGGCTGATTTTACACTCACTTTTACGTGTAACGTATGTCTTGCATTTGCCGAGTTTAGCTTTTCCCACCTCTCTTGTTTTACATCTGTTGAAATCTTTGACCCGTATTCATAGTTCATTGATGATCATTTGTCCAGAATGTTGTAAACAAAGTAATCCTGTCTCTTCAGGCATTTGGTGTTTTGGTTGGCTGTTGTTTTTAACTACTTTGGATGGAAGCTGTGTATTATACTTCTGTTGTGTTAACATGTACTTAAATGCCTGAGTGTAACCACAGATGCTCCCGGCTGACAGGCTGGAGCCACACAGGTGCCACCCACCCACTGGCCTCGAGCGCCACCTGCCAGCAGCTCGCCTCACGACTCCCATCCCTGCAGACGTCCCCACACTTGGTTCTCAGGCACCTGTTAGAAGCATTTCCTCCTGTCCTTGTAATCCTTTCTTCTGCCTCTCCTCTCCTCTCCTCAATTACATGGGCACCCTAATGTCTTTCTAAAACCTGTTTTGATAGAGAGATGACGTAGGCTTTGCATATCAGTGGATTTCTACAGGCTTTTATCTGACTGCTCAAACTGAAGAAAATGGACTCATCTGTAGGTGCTGGGCATAATTTGGTGTTCTAAACGTGTTCTCAGTGGTCATTCTCCAAAGAAGAGCTAGTGGGCATTGGTTCCCAAAACAGTATTACAGGGAAAATACCTCTTTCCGTTCCTCTTTTCATTCTGTTGTATCAGAAAATAGTAAATCTGAGTTAGAAAATATATTCCGTGGTGTTACTTAGGCAGTAACATAGCCATGCTTTTGTCCCATGAAATGTATGTGCTGCATATCTTTTCTGACAAATCCTGTGTCATTTCCAATGGAGCAGTTCAGAGTCATGTTTAACCTCTGCAGGCTGTGTCAGCACCGGAAGAGGCTCCTGCAGAGTCTGCTCCTGAAAAGCCGAGTGACGTTGGGGACGATAGTGTGTCTGAAGATGTGGCCGACGCAGGGGGCAGAGGTGGCTCCTCGGGGAAGAAGGAGCTGTCGTGCAGCAAAGCCGTCCCCGACGGGAAGCTGGTGAAAGGTACGCTGCCCTCGCTACCAAGGGTTCCAGTTTTGACCTGGTACCTCACAGGTGTCACTTCACATTAGCAAGGAAGAACGCTGGACCGCTTAAGGTCAGGTGCCTTTAGCCACAGGACAGGAGGAAATGGCTGCCCCTTTTAAGTTGCTGTTATTAATAAAACTTGCTTATTTCATAGTACTTTGCTGGTTTCGGGTTTGGGGTCATTTGGATATAAGCTCATCTTAGGTATGCGTTCTACAGGCTGTTGCTAACAGCCTGTTCTACCAATTTAATGGAAATGTTTAGAATTTTTCAAATGATGTTTTGTACCCCCCCCCTTGGACTTCTGAAACTATATGCAAACTATTGTGCCAATGGAATTCGTTTTATTTGTTAAGGCAAGTCCCTTGAGGGTCTCTACCAAGCGGTATTCCACTCGCTCCGTTTCAGTTACCTTTTCTTTTTTTTTTTTTTTTTTTTTTTTTTTTTT